GAAGAAATATGTTATGGTTTAATAGATGGCTAAGCAGACAACATTTAATGTCCTTTTATAGACCATTGTCTTAAAATATTTTTGACAGATAGGAGTAAGGATTACATCTGATTGGATGTTAGGGCAAGTGGGAGATTGCTGGAATAGTAATAATAATTTGCCCTTGAACATCCAATATAAATTATGTAATGATATTGTAATGTTAATAAATTTAATTGTTGCACATAATTTGGTTATTATTTATATAATTGTTATATATATCCTTAGAAGTTATTTTTGTTAGATCATGCATTGTGATGGTCACTTGCTTGGAGATATGATCTAACTTAGAAATTTCTTAAATTTGTGCTTAACCTATAACTAGTAAAGGATAACTTTGTTATAACAGGTTATTATGCATGACACCGATATATGAGATATGGTGGTGGGTCTCAACCATCGGGAATAGAGATTCTCCGGGTGTATGTCATAAGCATGTATTATGATGTGTGTAGCACTAGACTGTATTTGAATTCTCTAGGATGAGTCACCTAAGAGATAGAGAATTCAAATTGTTACATGGTCCCTTTGACTTGATGATATTATCATTTTCGATTTGATAATTTAGTATGCTTTGATGTGATGGTTAAGCTTGTTTAGCAAGCGCTACACAACCTGAAACATTGGGTTGCTAAATTTCATTTAGGAAAATGATGGATGTCTAGATAGGATCCAGTATGCTCATTATGATGAGTTAATTTATTATGCATTCCCATGAAGCTATTAAATTCCTGCCGGCAGGTAGCTTTTTTATTTTCTTATAAAAATAAAATATTTTGATGTTTCAAAATAGTTTTTATTTATGTTCATGGGAATTGCAAATTTAGACATGAGCAAATAGGTGAGTTGTCCTACTTAAAAGAGTTGCCTAGAATAAATGATACTGGAAGGGATTGAATGTAAGATATTATTTATTAATAATTAATCTCATATTATGGAAGAGCTTTTATGAACAATTGGTCGGATAGGGATTTGATTGTTAAATTAAAATTATTAATTTGATTAATAATTGGTTCTCGATATGGGACCCAATTGGTCTTACTAATATCATTAGAAGAGGTATACATGCAATGCAATTCTATTTCTATCCTTAATTGTTATGGATAAAATTTTTAAATAAATCTATTTCTATCCTTAATTGTTATGGATAAAGTTTTTGAACAAATCTATTCTATCCTTAATTGTTATGGATAAAGTTCTAGATAATTATGAATTGTTTAAAGTTAAAATCTCTAAGACTAGTATAATCCTATAAATAGGGTTCATATGTAGCCTTATGAGAAGAAATAGAAGAGATTGAAAATCTTATGAAGATAATATGAAGAAATAGATTTTTGAGAACCTATCTCTCAGTATTGCTCCTCTACGGTGACGGGTGGATTTCAATTGGAGGTTTTTTTTCTTAAGGAAGTTATTTAGGATTGATCTCGGGACAGATTATTATAGAAATTAAGAAAGCGTTTCAGGTATTCTTCTAATATTTAATTAATTTTGATTAATAGTCATGATATGCTTTTTCCGCTGCGTTGTATGTCATGATTCCAACAATATTGAGGAAGAGTTGAGCATGATTATCGTTGAAGTTGTTTAAAAAGTAAGACCGGGTCTTAAATAAATCAAAAGGTATTACGCATGAAAGCACATTGATACTATCTGTGAACATCAAATGCACACACGTACAATAAACTAGAAAAAAATTCAGACCAAGAGTAAAGCTCAGTAAGAGTTGAAAAATATTTAAGAAACATAAATATTTTGATAAGAAGTAATTATTGTAGAAACCTGCATACTTTTTTCCGCTCTATCTAATCCAATGGTCTACATTTCGATGGCAAAATTGAAAATATAGACAAATCTAATACACATCAGCTGTAAAATTTATTGTGAAAAGGGTAAAATGGGAATGATTCACTACAATGGTTGCTGGCAACATTGGAAACTGGAGATGATGAAGAACACATTTCTCTAAAGCGTCCTTTCACTTCCCCATTTCTCTCTCTTCCCCTGCGCTCAAGCTCACGCCGACGCTCCAGCTCACGCAGACGCCCCGACGACCCTCGACGAGCTCGCCGTCGAAGACCATCGACGAGCCCACGCCGACGCCGAAGCCCCTCGACGTCGTTCTCGACCAGCTTCGAGCTGGTCGAAGCCCCTCGACGTCGTCGCCGAAGCCCCTCGACGCCGTCGACGAAGCCCCTCGACCGCCAAAATCTTCTCTTAAAAAAAAGAAAAATTCCTGTCTTGTTTGTTTATTTTTGTTCACGACGATTCTTATTCTTTTTGTTTTTTATTTTTGCAGATTTGCTATTGTTTGATAACGAGTTTCAGTCCAGTGAATCTAGATTCAATTCAGTGAATCTTGATTCACTACAGTGAATCTTGATTCACTACAGTGAATCTTGATTCACTCCAGTGAATTTTGATTCACTGGAGTGAATCGAGAGCCATATATAGTTAATATTTATTTAATTATTGTTCACAAGTTAGAGTTAATATTTATTTAATTGTTGTTCACAAGTTGGTGGTCTTGTTGTGCTGTGTTGCTGTTGCTGTGCTGTTGTGCTGCTACTAGAGTGAAACTAGATTCGCTGGAGTGAAACTGGATTCGCTGGAGTGAATCTGGATTCGCTCTAGTGAATCTGGATTCACTCCAGTGAATCTGGATTCACTCCAGTGAATCTGGATTCACTCCAGTGAATCTGGATTCATTGGTTGTTTGTTGCTCTTATTTTATGAAGAGACATGCCTGTGAAACAATGAATACGAAGGGATGAAGTTTCTTTTGCATCAGTGATTATTTGAAGTGAAGTGAATCGAGATTCACTTCAGTGAATCTTCAGTGAATCTCGATTCACTGAGGTGAATCTCGATTCACTACTTCAGTGAATCGAGATTCAATGAATTTGTTAGTGTCAAACAAGGATCAAGAAAGGGTTCAAAACTGAGAAAAAATTAATGATTAGTTACTATATCTTTAAACAGTGTTACCAAATCTAAGTTTGTCGTTAACTGTTGATTAATACAAAAGTTATTTTAGTTTGTATATTTATGGATTATCCTATTCAACTCTTATTCTAATATAACTAGTTGAATCTAAATTCATAACGATGGATCTCGATTCTGTCGACAATTTATGAGTTATTTTGAATAACTGTAACCTCAACATGACGCTATCTTGTTTGTATCTTTACGGTGAAGTCAAATTTGTGATTCAGTTTGACTAAAACCAAATAAACCAAATTATCCTCCATTTTTGCATGATAGAGGTATTTTTTGAATTATCGTCTCAATACAACGCTGGTACACAAAGTTATAGCCTTTCAAGGTTTCACAACTATCCAATACAATTTTTAAAAAATTTACCAAATCCGATACTGAAATGACTTGAGTTTACATCTTAGCTGCCTAAATCTAAAAATAAACAAGAATGATTATATCAATGAACATAGATTCACCATTGATGAATCAAAAACTGAATTGAGATTTAATCTAGATTGAATATTATAATGTTACATCTGTACAGGTAAATCCAGATAGTGGGCAAACATAAATCAACTATTTTAGAGTTACAGATAAACAATATAAATCGATATTCAATAAAATTAATGTACAATGAATCTTAAGTGAAACAATGGATCCAATGGGATAGGTTCTCTTCATTAGACTTCAGAAGACTTGCGTTTGCACGTGGATGGCATGGATGAACGGAGATTCACTACAGTGAATCTCGATTCAATGATGTGAATCGAGATTCACTGAAGTAGATTCATTTCAGTGAATCGAGATTCACTGAAGTGAAATCAGATTCATCCCGTCGTATTCATTGTTCCAGTGTCTAGTCACATAGGTTTATCAACTCCCTGCAAAAAACAACTAAATTTGTGATTTCCAATTTAATTCAAGAGTACGTAAAACATGACTTTTACTTAAACTAAATTTGTATTTAGTTCAGTGAACACCGATAACTTATATTGAAGCTAAAATATAAGTTTGTATTTAGTTCAGTGAACATCGATAACTAAATACAAATTTGTATTTAGTTCAAGAGTATTTAGTTCAGTGAACATCGATTCACTTCACTTCAATTTTACCCTATCGGATATTGAGGAAATATCAGACAATCAAAATCCATGTTGGATTGTAGATATTGGAGAAATATCAGTAATAATATAACACATATCCGAGCGGCATATTGGATGATGTGATTATATAATATAATATTCTAAAATGTTACTTACATATCTAATCAAGCCTAAGCATACAAAGATGTAAACAATATATGTTTAGGAATTTGGATCAGTAACCAATTGTAAATATTTTACCTTCAGCAAAAGAGCTTAACAAATTTTTCTAAAAAGTTTCATATGATTGGAGTTTTTACCCGAAAAACATTTTTGCATAGCTATATCATTCAGTGACAAAGTTATATAAAAGGATATATTGGATAGCATGTTGATTAATATATCGACCATTGTTGGGATACATCGCTAAAAATTTGCTAAAAAGTTGTAAAAGATATTAAGATCATGTCATTTTGTGGCAAGCCTTATAAAAAGATATTAGTATGCAGGTAAACAAATCTGTATGAACTAATCACTTGCCGCCGCGACACAAACACCCCCACACCCACCCAAAAATACAGAAACACATGGAGCTTTATCTACAAAATACCCCCGGGTCTGCTCTTTTTTTTTGTGTTGAGAGTATTGGATGAGAGGATATGTGGGGAATCCAATGAGCCAATATGCGGTTTGAACCTTAAGATGATCGTAAAAGTAGATTTTGAGCTTAAATCATTGTGATGTTCAAGTAAAACCCCAAAACCATCAATAAAAAGAAAGAAAGCGCTGCAGCCAAACAAAGAAGAATCATGAATTCCGGAGTTTCTGCATGTCTGATTTGAAATTTTAAATATAATCAAGAGATCAGAGAGTAATGTCATGTAAAGATAACAGATCGTGTAAAGATAAAAGGAAAACTAATTAGTTGCTGACATTGAACACTTTCTGAGATCACTTTTGTCCTACACAGGACTATTCAATTTGATAGAAGCAATAAAACATGAAATAAGATCTACAATAACAATATCGTGGTTCACTGCACATTCACATAACAAAGTAACCTAGGTACTACAAGAATCAAGGGTGGGTTAAGCCATATGTATCCAGTTGACCAAAGTAAAAAAGCAACTACTACCGTATCTTCCTCTTGCCATGATGGATACAATTTCACGTACAACTTGATTCACATAAGAACTAGGTGGATGTGCACAAGACGTATATGATCACGATCACCTTTCTTGAAACTAGCATATTTGGTTAACGACACAAGAAGCCTACATTAAAATGAGAGAGTAACAAGTCATAATAAGAATACTAGTAATAATGTGGTATCATACATTACTGTTTGTAATATTTACGTAAAGCAATGTACAAGATGGCAAATTTCAGAAAAGATGAGTAGTGAGTTTAATCACAACCAAGGCATGGAGTTCGTAACATTTGAATCGATGAACAGAACACGACACTCTTTATTTGAAGATAAAAACAGGTTTTCCAACAATTCAAAATGTCCATCACATTGCAAAGACTCCATGGGAACCCACAAACAAGAAGATAAATACCCTAATCTGATATAAGCAAGGTTTTGCTAATGGACTAACTACTACAGAAAATCACCTTTGAGAAGCATTTCTTAGTAAGTTATACTCCCATACTTTCAATATCTCTCCCACGTTCTTATTTTTATTCAAATTTAAGATGTGAATGTAATTACATCATACAAACTCCAATGGTGAAAGGCCGAACGTAGCATCAAGGTGACACACACAGATGACATGCAAGTAGTATCAGCAACTCCTGAATCTAATTTAAGCAAAACAAGAGTAAACAACAGATTTTGTTAAGAAACCTCAGGAGAAATACTTAAGTGATTGAAAGTTGCAAGGTTGTTTACGCATGCATTTTAGCTCTTTAATCTTTATTGGTTGAAGAGTTCATGCAAGTGGACATTTGGCGGCTCAATTACATACACATTATGGGCAGTGGGCACAGTGAACTGAAAGTTATTTCAAATTGGGCAAAACAATTGTTCATTTGCATTTTCTTTCATGCAATCATCAAAAAGAAATCATCCGCCGTTGAAGGAAAGACCAACAATAACAAAGTAATATACAAATGTTGGGTAGGGACCTAATTCTATCACAAATGAGTTGTGAGAAAAAGATCACCCACAAAGAGCAGGAACATATTGACTATCAACCTTTCATAAAACAATATTCATCCTCAAAATATTTGAGGGACGAACGTAATTGTCTAAGCAAAGGATTAATTTTCAATAAAAAACGATTATCACCTCAACATAATATAAAAATCACGAAAATCATGGAGCATTATAGACAGATAATTCACAGTCACGGATCCATCTACATCAAAAATATAAATCACGTTCATTCTAGATACTAAAAAATATAGCCGGAATTGTATTCAACTGCATTGACTAGATATAACTTACCGCTTCAATCGGTTGATTTCTTCCGAGCAGCTCTAGCATTGTCGTACTCGAATTTGAGAACATTAGGTATATGTGAGGAGTCCCTGATGTAAAGGAATCTCCCAATTGTACTTTCCTCAATTGCTGGGAAGTAATCTATGAGCATATTATTCACAATCCAGAACCAACTCACACCAAGAACAAGACCAAGGGCTGCCCCAGCAAAAACCTAAACCATTTTGAAAATTATCATTATATATTGAACGATGCTAGTAACAAAAGATATGTCCCCATTAATAAAACAAACTTCAAGAGAGTTATTTCTCTTCTCTTATAACCAGGTTTCAAAGAGTGAAATACATACATATGATTGGAGTATCAAAATTGGGATAATAACAATGACATAAGAATCCCCCCTGGTATGTAATGCTAGCCAACCATTTTAATTAAACTACAATAAAAGTGCAAAGTTTTTTTGAAATTTAATTATGTAAGAATCGCCTAGCTGTAACTATAGCCAAAACCTTTTAACAGAATATTAACCAATTTATAAATTCTATCAGCAAAATAAATTTACATTTATATCAATAGCTATGATTACAGTCTTAAGTTATTTGTCAGGGATCGGAGCATCAGGAGTTGAAGAAGCTGCCATGTTGAGTGCACAGGGAGCTGGAGGAGATGGACGACATTGAGAACCAGGCAACCAGGCTTACAGGGGACTATTTTGTAAGACTTTTATAGTCCAGGGTACTTGTAATAAATGTCCAAAGTCTGTTACAACAGATGTCCAAAAGTCTGTTAAAAACAGTTAAGGTTGTTTTGTTAGTTGTAAGCCTGCACGTTTCTGTGCACGTTTTCCTTATTTTGACTGTTTGAGCATCAGTATAAAAGAGAGAAATGTAATCAGAGAAGGACAATAAGAAAAAAACTTTGATTTCTCTTCTTCAATACAATCTCACTTTCTCTCTTCTATCTCAATTTCTTTTCACTCTTTATTCTCAAGAATCTGTAGTTTTCTGACATGGCCAGAAACAGCAATCTGAGATCCAACCGAGGCTCGCGAGCCTCACATTTGGTATCAGAGCAGGTTGAGGCTGAAGCAGGCGCTGAAGAATTCATGGGGAATCACGATGGAGCTTCAGCAGACGAGGGAATGCAACTGGGAGTTCAATTGGAAGACAACATTTCCAGTCGGAGGTTCTTCAACCAAATGAATCGCATGGAGGAGACCCTCAACCAACAAGGACTCATCAATCAAACAGTGATGGCAAGATTGCAAGAATTAGGTTCTCAATTGCAAGAACTCAAGAGCACCAAGGATCAGGCAACTCTGAGTTCATTAAACAATGGCGTGAGAATCAATCAAGGAATCTTAGGGGCAGGGTCCAGAGATGAACGTGGGATTCCTGGATCAGACAATAATAATCAGATTCATGAGAATAATCCTCAAACACAGAGGAGGATTGATTTGTCTGGTGAATGTCCCCCAACTCCTAGCCAAAATCATGGTAATTTCTTGAACCACAAGAATTCCTTTTTTAGTAATCAGAAATTAGTTCAACCGAAATCTCTGAGACTAGATTTTCCATCTTTTTCTGGTTCTGAGAATGTGATTTCTTGGTTGGAACAAATTGAGCAAATATTTGATTACTATGATATCAAAGAGGATGAGTGGGTTAAGGTCTGTTCCTTTTATCTAAGGGATGAGGCCCTACAGTGGTTTAGATGGTGTACAAAAAATCTTGACTACTATAATCACTGGAAGGTTTTTAAAGAAGAGATTATTACCAGGTTTGGGCCTAGTGAGCTCCTCAGACCATATGATACATTCTCAACTATGAAGCAAACATCTACTGTGAGGGAATATTTGGGAAAGTTTGAACAAACTTTAAGTCTGTTAGATGATCAGCCCTCAAAACGCCACATATTGGAAAAATTTATAGGAGGTTTGAAGGATGAGTTGAGATATGAGGTAGCTGCTGCGAGACCCTCATCTCTGAAAGGGGCAGTATCCTTGGCCAAGTTATTTGAGGATAAACAAAAAAATGAGAAGAGAGTTAGAGGTAATTGGAATGTCTTTAATCAAGGCAGTCCTACAACTCGTACATCTATCGATACTCCTGTTCAAGAAAGACTGAAATCAAGTCCACAAGTCAGGAAACTCACTCCTGAAGAAATTCAAAGAAGAAGAAGTCAGAATATCTGCTTCACTTGTGACGAAAAATGGCATAGGGGACACCAGTGCAAGGATAAGCGCTTGTTCATATTGGAGGGCATCATGACAGGAGTTACGGAGGAAGATGTCAATGACCCCTCAGAAGAGGAAGCTGGACATGTAGCAGTGGAGTTGGCTGAAAGCTTAGTAAGAGGGGCTCCATCTATCTCTGTACAGGCTCTTAGTGGAATAACAGCTTCCCATACCATTAGAATAGTGGGTTATTATAAAAATCAAGCCATTAGCATCTTGATAGACTCTGGCTCCACCCATAATTTTATCAATTCCAAATTAGTCAAGAAACTGGGCCTGACAGTGACAGAGTATAGTAACTTTGATGTCTTGGTAGCCAGTGGAGAGGTAATCAAGGGAGCTGGGGTATGCCAAGAAGTTTTACTTGATTGTTAAGGGGTAAAAATACAGGTCAATTTGTTAGTAATGCCTATGGGAGGCAGTCAGATTGTATTGGGTGCAGATTGGATGAAGACTTTAGAGGACATCACATTGAATTTCCAAAAATTACAAGTGACATTCTTAAGTGATGGAATCAAAAGAACCTTGCAGGGGGAAATTCCAGGAGAAATGCAATTAGTCAATGAGAAAAGCATTGCCAAATCAGTTAGAGAACAGGGACAAGGGTTCCTGATTCAATTGTGTAGTGTAAGTCTGCAGGAATCAAAATGGGAGGGCTTCAGTGAAGAATTACCTGAAGACATGCATCAGTTGATTCAAGAATTTGATGTGATTTTCCAGGAATTGCCACACCTTCCTCCTGCCAGAGAAATAGACCATCGAATTCCACTTGAGCCTGGAACAAAACCAGTATGTATCAGACCTTACAGACATGCACACTTTCTGAAGGAAGAAATTGAAAAGCAAATTGAAGAGATGTTAAAAAGAGGAATCATTAGACCCAGTCATAGTCCCTTTTCTTCACCTGTAGTCATGGTAAAAAAATCAGATGGGAGCTGGAGATTGTGTATAGATTACAGAACCTTGAACAAAGCCACTGTTAAAAATAAATTCCCTATACCAGTCATAGATGAGCTTCTTGATGAGCTCCATGGGACACAGTTTTTCACCAAGTTAGATTTGAAATCTGGTTATCACCAGATAAGAATGTATGAACCTGATATTCAGAAAACTGCATTTAGAACTCACAGTGGACACTTTGAATTCTTGGTGATGCCATTTGGTCTTACGAATGCTCCTTCAACATTTCAGGCTCTCATGAATACCCTCTTTAAAAGTTTACTCAGGAGGTCTGTTTTGGTCTTTTTTGATGATATTCTGGTCTATAGTAAGGGGTGGCAAGATCATCTAGTGCATTTGAAGCAAGTTTTCCAAATTATGAAGGACTACAAATTAGTTGCAAAGCTGTCCAAATGCAGCTTTGGGCAGAATCAAGTTGAATATCTTGGGCATGTTGTGTCACAAGAGGGGGTTAGTGTAGACCCCAAGAAAATTCAAGCTGTAGTGGAGTGGCCTATTCCCAGATCACTCAAAGCATTGCGAGGGTTCCTAGGTCTGGCTGGATATTATAGGAAAATTATCAAAAATTTTGGAACAATAGCCCAGCCTTTAACACATCTTTTAAAGAAGGGTCAGTTTGGTTGGAATTCAGGTGCAGAGATTGCTTTTAAAAACCTGAAGGAAGCATTGACAAATTCTCCAGTCTTAGCTATGCCTGACTTCACTTTACCCTTTGTGATTGAGTGTGATGCATCTGGTACAGGAGTTGGGGCTGTGTTGATGCAGAGGGAAAGGCCAATAGCATACTTCAGTTTTGCCCTAAAAGGAAATAATGCTACTCTGTCTACTTATGAGAAGGAATTGTTAGCTTTAATCCTCTCCACTAGAAGGTGGCAGCAATACCTACTTGGTAGAAGTTTTGTTATAAGGACTGACCACCAGAGCCTCAAATATATTCTTAAGCAAAGAATTCAGGCAGGAGTCCAGAATAAATGGCTTGCTAAACTACATGGATATGACTATGTGGTAGAGTACAAACCAGGAAGAATGAATAATGCTGCAGATAGTTTATCCAGAATTCATGAAGAAGAAGTGGAACTTTCAGCCATTTCTGTGGTCAATAATGACTGGTTGAAGGAGATCAGAACTTTATGCACTGAAGATGCTTTCTATAAAGAACTTGATGAGAAGCTACAGCAAGGGCAAGTGAGCACTGAGGAGTATTCCAGAAAAGAAGGCATCTATTACTATAAAGGCAGGATTTTACTCAGTCCTCATGCACATGAATTGAAGACTGCATTATTGGAGGAACATCATAATAGTCCTACTGCAGGTCATTCTGGTATTACCAGAACATTACACAGATTGAGGAGGTCTTTTTACTGGGCAGGAATGAAAAAAGATATCCAAAAACATGTACAATCTTGTGATACCTGCCAAAGAGCTAAGGGAGAAAATGTGGCATCCCCAGGCCTCCTGCAACCATTGCCTATTCCAGAGTATATCTGGGAAGATTTGTCCATGGATTTTATCACAAATCTACCAAAGAGTGGGAATCAATTTGTGCTGTTTGTGGTGGTTGACAGGTTATCAAAGTATGCACATTTCTTTGCCCTAGCACACCCCTACAATGCTCAAATTGTTGCTCAAGTGTTCTTTGATGGAGTGTTTAAACTCCATGGAATGCCAAAATCCATAGTTAGTGACATGGATCCCTTGTTTACTAGCTCATTTTGGAAGGAACTCTTCAAACTGCAGGGGAGTCAGCTTAAGTTCAGCTCAGCATATCATCCACAGACTGATGGACAAACTGAGATAGTTAATAAAAATCTGGAGTGTTATCTGAGGTGTTTTTGCTGTCACAAGCCAAGAGAATGGAGTAAATGGTTGTCACTGGCTGAGTTTTGGTATAATACTACATGGAAGGTTTTAACAAATACTACTCCTTTTGAAGCAGTCTATGGGCGACCTCCTCCATCATTACTCTCATACATTCCCAAGAGTTGTAAAGTGGAGTCTGTAGATTCTGTTCTCTTCTCCAGAGATATAACATTACAGTTTCTTAAGGACAGTTTAAAGAAAGCAGCAGAACATATGAAGAGATTTGCTGATAAGCATAGGAGTCCCAGAAATTTTGATGTTGGAGAATGGGTATTTCTTAAGCTTCAGCCCTATTATGGGTATGCTTGGTACCAAGCACAAATTTTGGGTGCTTTAAGAGACTAATAGCAATTATGGGTTGGGGAACATAATAAAGGGATAAAATAGTCAATTTATCTCCAATCGTTAGATTTGACGAAATATTTCTATCAAATCTAGCAAGATTTAATTAAAGGACCATTTTGCAAGACTTTATAGGATTTGAGGAAGTAATATGCAATTTTCAAGATTTGTGGGGGGAAAATATGCAATTATTGAAGATATAAGGGACTAACATCTAAAAATCCCCAATAAGTCAAGGCTCCCGGTGGACTCCACGGGCGGTGACCACACTCCGTTCCCCGGAGCTTAACTTACCCCGCCCTCGATCATCATCACGATGCTCGCTCCGGTGGCTTGCATGGCGTCCAAGGTCAAGCGATTTCCTGCTTTTGACCTTGAGACAAGGTCCAATTTAAGGGGAGGGGAATTGTCAGGGATCAGAGCATCAGGAGTTGAAGCAGCTGCCATGTTGAGTGCACAGGGAGCTGGAGGAGATGGACGACATTGAGAACCAGGCTTACAGGGGACTATTTTGTAAGACTTTTATAGTCCAGGGTACTTGTAATAAATGTCCAAAGTCTGTTACAACAGATGTCCAAAAGTCTGTTAAGTTTGTTACAAACAGTTAAGGTTGTTTTGTTAGTTGTAAGCCTGTGCACGTTTCTGTGCACGTTTTCCTTATTTTGACTGTTTGAGCATCAGTATAAAAGAGAGAAATGTAATCAGAGAAAGATAATAAGAAAAAACTTTGATTTCTCTTCTTCAATACAGTCTCACTTTCTCTCTTCTATCTCAATTTCTTTTCACTCTTTATTCTCAAGAATCTGTAGTTTTCTGACATGGCCAGAAACAGCAATCTGAGATCCAACCGAGGCTCGCGAGCCTCACATTTGGTATCAGAGCAGGTAGAATCTGTAGTTTTCTGCCATGGCCAGAAACAGCAATCTGAGATCCAACCGAGGCTCGCGAGCCTCACAAAGCGCCTCTCTGAGATCCTCCGTCCTCCTCTTCAGGTGCCCTGACCTTCTACTTTTTTACACAAAACCCCCTCAAAAATATAAACAAATTACGAATCTTTAATTTCTCTTGATTTTGTTTCAGGTCCCGATCTCTTCAGGTTCGAGATCCTTCTCCACCGCTCTCAACTATGTTAGTAACTCTCAAACCTTTGAATTGATTGAATTTGTGAGGTTTTGTAAAAAAAAATTAATTTTTGGGGGGTTTTGCAGCATATTGATTCGAAGGATAATAACCCTGAGATGCCATGGGAATTCAGCGAGGCCAACAAGGAGTGGTAAGTTAATCAAAATCTCACCTTATTATTATTATTATTATTATTATTATTATTATTATTATTTTATGAGTGGATGATGACTACATTGCCGCTGATGATTTGTTGAGTGTTTGGTAATTAAGACCATCTCCAACCCATTGCACCAAAATGATGCAAATTTTGCATCAAAATGGAGCAAAAGTCACATCAAACAGTAATACATCTCCAACCCATTGCACCATTTTTTGCACCAAAAAAGAATATTCTCAGTATATTCTTAGTTTATTCCCTTTTATCTATTTTTATATTAATTAAGAGTTAAAAATAAATAGTTAAATTTTTTTTAAAAAAGTGAACAGTAATTCCGCGGATGAACATTGCGACGCCATATTTGGTGCAACACTGTTCAAATGCACCAAAATGGAGCAAGAAATGGGGCATGATTGGAGAATGAAAAGTGTAAAAATGCACTGTTTGCACCATTTTGGTGCTGGGTTGGAGATGCCCTAAGTTGATAATAATACTTCTCATTAAAATGGATAACTTCTCATTAAAACGGATAAGTTTGCCACAAACAAATTGTTTCCCAATTTTTGAGCTCTTTGAGAATGGAATTTGTCCATAATTTTTGGTAGAAGTATCAAAATCAGAGCGATGGAGGCTATTTTCAATCGGGGTCTCCTCAGACATTCATTGGAGAATAGTTACTACGATGGCAGCTGTTTCCGTGAACTTATTCCAAAAACAACTTGAAATTGGCTCTGAGGTTGCATAAATTAGGGTCAAAATTAAACATTTCTAGGTTCATCAAGGCCGAAGTTTTTGTTTTCCGTTTGATGTTTGCTGCGCAACCCCATTCTGTTGTGCTGTTCCAGGTACTTTCTGTCTGATGATCCCTTCATTCTTTGAAGACCCATTAAATTCTCATATACACAACTCAATATTGTTATCAGTTCTAAGATTTCGTAATTTGTTTTCCTATTTTTTCTCTAACAAAGTCGTCCATTACTCGAAAGTCACAAAAACATCATCTTCATGTTTTAAGCAGAAGATGCAAAGCTTCCTTATTTGACTAGGTCTTTAGAGTTAGCTAGTTTTAGCATGAGGTATTTTCTATGCATTTAAGTCGAGTCGGAGATATGTTATTAGATGAATCAAATAACCAGAACCCATATAAACCCGAATTCAGTATCTCTGTGAGGCTCGATTAGGATTTTGGCTGAGACCTATGACATGCCGCTATTTGAATTGATCAGGATTAAGAAGTACTAAATTGGGTAACTGAATGCAAGGGCTTATTAGCAATGGATCATGTGATTCTTATTTGCGGAGACTAATGATGGTATATTTGGTTTAGGAACTGCAATTTGGATCAGGATTGCTAGAATATAAGGATTTCAATTCCTGAGCTTTATTCAGGATTGAACTTCTCCGTTTGCTTTTCTCTGTACTCTGCTAGTAGCAAGACTTTGTTTAGTTGAAACTCATATATTTAGGAGATTCCTTATTCAACAAGATCTCTTTAATGTCCTTGGTAGCAATAGAACTCGACCATAAATCATAATATCCCTGAAGTGCTTTTATGAGGATATTAGAGAAGAAAATAACATAAGGGGGATCTCCATCTCACATCAATTTTATTCAAGTCTGTAATCACGTAATTAGATTCACTGGTATGAGTTCCGATGTGTGTGTCCCCTGACACACGAAATGTGTATAACCAAGGTTTTAAATGTCGGATGTCGGGTTCATGTCGGACGGCTAAAATTCATGTCGGATAGCGAAAATCAGGGATATGTCGGAGGACATGAAAAAAATATCGGATTGTCATATCGGATGGTGTGCATATGTGTAATATAAATATCATAAATAAAATCTAAATAGACTTAAAAAAATTTATTGTCTAAACATATAAAAGAGTAAATAACTTATGATGCTTATGGTTGATGTTGAAGGAAAGAGGTGAGAATCCGATATTAGCGGTTAAGAAGAGAGAAGATCGCCCGATATTGATGTCGAAGGAAGAGATCGGAGAAGAGATCGATGAGATGTCGAAGGAGAGAGAGAAGATGAGAGACGGATATTACTTTGACCTTTTTTCTATTTCTCTTAACTTATCGGTTTTTGTCTTTGAAAGTAATATTAAGACAATCAAGAATTTAAACTCAAACCTGATTAGACAAACATAACCAAAAATTTTAAAAAAACCAGCTAATTTTTCAGATTAAAAAATCGACCGACATACCACCCAACATATCCGTCCGACATATCCGACATATCCCCCGATATATCCGACATGAACCCTGAAAACGCAATACGCATTGAAAAGTTCTATATCGTGTCGGTTGGCCCCTAAATCGGACATGTCGGCCGACATGTCGGACATGTCGGCCGACATTTAAAACACCGAGTATAACCACTCTTCAAGAGGAACCTATCAATGAGCCATTTGTCAAATACAAGTCCTCCAACTTACACTATCTATCAATAAAAGAAGCTAAAGCATCTAATGGATTTCATGTTAACCACCCACTATTCATAGTTCATGAGTAATAATATAGATGAAAATATACTCTGAAGTATGAACTTAACCCATCCTTTAAGTTGGTGTGGTTTAATGTTCTTTCACAGTAAAGTTTGAAGTATTAAAGGAAAATGCAGAGACTATATAGATGGTCATTGGTCAAAATGAAATTTAAATTGATCAATGTTTTTAGCTCTTACTATATGTTGCAGACTTTCTTAGGGTTACTCATGGTCTCAGGTCTCACAGTTTCATGTGGGTTCCTAAAGTGGTCGTTCAGACAAGGCACATCAAAATTCTAGAGGAATTTTAATTATTTTGTGGACTTCCCTAGATATTTGATGACGACCTTATAGGATCCTGATCAGATGAACTTGCAACTTCATCTGATAATTCTGTTATTTGAAGTGGCTTAGGCTTAAAAATCAATTTTCTTATGGAATAGCCTAAATGAGTTAGAAAATTATTTGAAGATGGATAATTTCTACAGAAAAAGAAATATTTGTCAAATTTGAATGAAAATGTTTAAGAATGTGTCCAATTTGAACTAATGTGTAAGATCTACACTAAGACTAAGAAATACCAGCCATAAGTTGCGCCATACATCATACTAATGAAGGATGGTAAGATTAGGTTGAGTCGTGAAAGGGGAAGTTAGATTATTTCATCCACCTTTCTAAGAATGAAAACAAAGCTATATGTTTCAAATTAGTCATTGCATGAAGTCCCACTACTAAAGATTTTTATCTTGATCTGAAAATTTCACATTAAAAATCAGCATTGGCAGCTAGAGAACAATATAAGCATCTTAAATATGTAAGAAGTAGCAATAGCACCGTAGATATGTAGGTTGTTTTGTGGAGATATCTAGATGCGTATGTCATGCTGTCGAATATAGTAATATGCTAAACAGTCTTAAAATATTAGCTTTCACACTATAGTGGATGTAGGTTGTCTAAAAATTACTGCAGATATCTGATCCTCATTAAACACCGATGATGAAAATTACAATTTGACGGCTTTCATAATGTTATAATTTGAAAACTTTCACGTAGATCGATGAATGTTATAATCTGACAATATTTACAATAACCGATGGAAGCTCTAATTCAACAGCCTTCATAATCAACATTAGGAGTTACAATCTGACGATTCTCATATTTTTTAAGGAGCCAAGACGAATATTACAAGATGATGATATTTGCAACGCTCTAGCAAAAGAGACTACAAATTGACGGTCTCTTCAAATCAAGACGCAGAGGTCGTAGCTGCGTTTCAGATTCAAAACGCAGAGCTCATTGTTGCGTTTTCAGCCCAAAACGCAGGGTTCGTCGCTTCTTTCCAGATCCAAACGCAGAGCTCATTGCTACGTTTTCAGCCTAAAACGCAGGGTTAATCGCTGCGTTTCAGATCCAAATACAGAGCTCATTGCTGCGTTTTCAGGTTCTGTTTCAGATCCAAATACTGAACCTGAAACAGAACCTGAATGGTTTTAGGCTGAAACAGAACCTGAATGGTTTTAAAACATTTTTTAATACAGAAACTAAATACAGAACCTGAAACAGTACCTGAATGGTTTTAAAACCGTTTTTGCACTTAATGAGGGCGGTTACACCCCATAAACCCTCATTAAGAAGAGATTTAAGGGGGCGGTTACACCCCTTAAACCCCTATAAATAGTGGGTTTCATCGTTGAATCTAAAAAGGGAGGATCAGAGCTGGGGGATAGGAGGCGATCTTAAAAAGAGGATCTTTCTGATCGAAATTTTGGAGAAGAAGTTCAGCATTCATCATTCTTCAACCGTGAACATTTTCAATTCCAGCAACAACTAACATGGATTTTATTCTTGGCTTGAAACTGATTTTCGGTGAAATTAATCAACTCTTTTACAGAGTTTAAACTCGCGCTGAGTTCTAAAACTCGTTAAGAGTTATTTTCAAACTTACCACGTAAGTCCTCCGTAACATCAATCAAGAGGAAGAAACCGTATTCCACTGAAGTGAAACGTTCGGATCGTCAACGAGATAATAGGATCTGAACTCCCATTGACACCAAGAAGAACCCGGGTTAAACAAAGGGAAAGATCTATGTTGATCTTTCTCTCTTGTAAATCAGGAATCTGATCGAGAAGATTTGTAATTTCTTTTTCTAAGTTTGCTAGAGAAAAATTATGTTGAGAGAATTGTAATTATTTTTTTCTAAGTCTGTTAGAGAGAATAATACAATATTAATTCTTAATTATCTTCTTATATTTTTTTCCACCAAACAAAAGATGACGATTCTGCTGGGGACTAGCTTCACTGACGAAGAAGTGGTGACGCAATCCGACGTTAACCTCGCTAGAACCACGGTCGAAACTCTTGTTGTGGAGTTTGATCAAGCCAAGTACGAGGAAGCTCTTTCCTCCAGATCCTTTACCCGAAGGCTATGCTCAAGGTCCGCACAATCACCAACAAGACCAAAGCTCCATCCGTTGCTGAATCATCAAAAGAGGCTCTCCCATTTGGTCAAGACTACTCGAACAACCCCTCCTCTGAAGGAGTGGGCTCAGCTTTTGCTAGACTCACCAATCAAAATCTTACACCCGCACCAAAGTAACGAGTATCGGGTCATAAAAGGCTCATTGCGACGACAAGCTCCATCAACGCAGATGACCTCGCTGCAAAAGCCTTAAAACAGGCTAAGAAGAATGTCGCTCGACGAAGTAGGAGATCCTGACGACGAACACAATTCCGAGAGAGTCGATCCTCCAATCAACGCGAGCTATGTGTTTGTGAGCCTCAGCAAGAGCTCTGCGTTTCTGCTTCAAAACGCAAACCTCACGTTGATGTGCCCAAATACAAGCCCCGTGTGATCCAACTAAAACGTAACTCTCAAGGGAGCGTTCCAAAATCAAAACGTAGTTCTCAGGGACGCGTTCTAACCCCAAAACGCAGTCCTCAAGGACGTGTTTCCCAAATAAAACGCAACTCTTAGGAGTGTGTTCCAAAACCAAAACGCAGGTTTCCAGACCGCGTTAATCAGCCTAAACGCAGTTCTCATGAGAGCATTCCAAAATCCAAACGCAAGTCTCTGGACTGCATGGATCCACCAGAATACAACCACCAGGGGTGTGTTTCTTCAGCAAAACACAGACCTCAGTCTGCGTTCTTCAATCCAAACACGACCCTCGCATTTCTTACGTGATGTGTCAAGTCGTGTTCATGGTGACTGACATGGACTTTAGAAAATAGAATTGGGCCCAAGTAATAAAATCCAATATAGAATCTGATGTATACCGTGGACCTTCGGGATGCTGTCCAGAACCCCGTTAGGGGGTCGACTTCTCCCCACAGACCCCCCCAGTCAGG